AGTAAAACAAACCAAAGAATAATCCATAGCCATTATGCGCTGTTTGTTCCACTTTGCAAACACACTAAATTCAAAAAGAAATCTGAATTTATTATACTTTTTCTTGCAGTCTCGTATCCCTTTAGCAATCACAGCTCATGCTCATTTTTCAGTTATAAGTTTACAATTATCTGCAAATCAAATCAAATGATCTGTTCAAAAGTTTGTGGTCAGATGTTACTCAGCATCATTCAGCAACAAATTGATCAAATATGACAGTAAATGCATGCTACAAAAGATTTAAATCATTACCAAATCAGTATGTTATATGATTTCTTAAGGGTCATGTGACACTGAAGACTGGAGTAATGGCTGCTGAAAATTCAGCTTTGCCTTCACAGGAATACGTTACATTTGAAAATATATTAAAATAGAAAACAGTTTTTTTTATTGTAATAATTTTGTACATTGCTGTTTTACTGTGTATTTTTTAAAAATGCAGGTAGGCATACTTTTGTCTTACAGAACCAATATTTTTTGTAGTATTCAGTATTATGATCTCATATAATCATAATACTCATATAATCTGAAATCAGTATTACAGGTTTATCTGTCAAGAAACTCTTTTAACAGGATAGTTCACCCAAAAATGAAAATTCTGTCATCATTTACTCAGCCTTGTTCCAAACAAATGTGAGTTTCTTTATTCCGCTGAACACAAAAAAGTTATTAGTAAGAATGTAGGTAACCAAACAGTTTTTGGTCATCACTGATGTCCATAGTGTGTGTGTATGTATGTATTTAATTGTAAAAAAAAAAAATCTGCACAGTGCAAACAGCCAAAACCTGGATATTTTAGGCAATATAGAAATCCTGGCAAGGACGCGTCCCGTAAAAATGGCCCGTATGGTCACCCTAGTTAACCACATTTTTACAAATATCTTCTTTTATGTTCAACAACTTATTTTTGGGTGAACTATCCCTTGCACAGGCACAGGCCTCAAACATTTTGTCAGTCCAAACACTTTGCATTGATAGATGAGTTAACTGACTGAGAGATGACTGTAATTTGTGTGAATGAGCACATTAGAGCCTGAAGTGAAAGTTCCAGCCAGCCATAACCAATGGTGAATGTATAAATGTAAATTTCTGCTTTTAGACAAGCACTTTCTGCATACATTATGGAAAAATACCAGTACAACACAAAACTCTTGGTCACTCAATACTACTTTAATCACCAATGAAAATAATGGCCTGATCTCACCACAGCTTAATATAAAACATCAGCAACACTATGAAGAACACATGTCACAAATACGCGCACGTGTTTGTTCGTTCGTTTGACTTGAAGCGTGGCTGTGCACCGATCATTGAATGACGCCAAAGTACCGCGCGAGGGATTCGAAAGCATAAGGAGCCGTCTGCTCTGCTCTCTATAGCTCTCGTGAATGTCATACTATGGAAGTCAATGGGGACCAGCAAGGGTTCAGTAACTTGGGTAAACTTGAGTAAATGATGACAGAATGTTTATTTTTGGGTAAACTATCCCTTTAAAAGGCAGCACAGGCCTTAAACATTTTGTCAGTCCAAACACTTTACACTGACAGATGACTTAACTGACTGAGAGATGACTGTAATTTGTGTGAATGAGCACAAGCCTGAAGTATAAGTTCCAGCCAGCCATAAGCCACAACCAATGCTGTATGTATAAACGTAAGTAAGAGGCAAATTTCTGCTTTTAGATGAACACTTTCTGCATACATTTTAGAAAAATGCCAGTTTAGTAATTAATTTTTTTTTCTTGGCATAGTGGCCCTTTCACATAGTCAACAAGTGAGTGTCAACAGAAGAAGCGTTTCACATCCCTCCTCCCTTTATTTTACATGTGGGAAACTGTGTAACACAAAACTCTTGGTCACTCAATACTACTTTAATCACCAATCAAAATAATGGCCTGATCTCACCACAGCTTAATATAAAACATCAGCAACACTGTGAAGAACACATGTCTCTTTTCTCTATTCATTATGAGGAAGGTGTTAGCACTAGCAGGGGGTACTCGCTAACTGGCTCGCTAATTATGTGGCATGTCCTGTGGAGGAGGTTTTGGAAGCTTGTTGCTGAGCACCTGGAGTGTTTTCTGATTGGAGGTTTTCTTGACAAATGATTTATTCCTGTCATGTCATTGGTCAGACCTCTGTAGCCACAAGGCACAAATTAAGGATGTAGTTTCGAAAATGCCCAGGTCATGGGCCACAAAGACTGAGCTCATTTATACAATGGGTCTTTAACAGTGTAAGAGGTCAGGCCATTAATTTGGATTGCCTTTTAGTAATTCAGTGTAAGTTAATGCAACGTGTTTTGGTAAAGCTATAACTTCAGTATATATCTAGAATATAATTATATGTATGCTCTTTCCTTAAAAATATATCAGAAAACATATATTGCTCTTTTTTGTTTTTGTCTGTATATATCCTACATTTAACATTCTCTTTTAATTCTTCAGTCAGAAGCTTTGTGAGGGCAAGTCTCTTGCAATTATATATGCCCAATTTATGATGTGGTGAGCCTGAGTGCAAATATTTGGTTTCACTGTGTTTTATCTGGGGATAAACCCATATTATATACTTCAAAGTTGCAAAACGCTTGCACATGCGTGGAGTGTGATGCTCCCCTCTTCAGCCAAGCTGCCTGTGTAGTGGTTTGCTTAATTTACATCGGGTCATGTGCAGAGGTCATTCTTGTGATTTTGCAGAAAGGCTTTGCTTGAGGTCACCAACAAACTTTCCAGATGTGCCAGAATGTCATCAAACTTGCATAAGCAGAACCATGTAATTTTTTGACATTATGATATTAAAGATGGCAGTTTGGTTTCCCAAGCAAAAACTTAATGGGTAACTCACCATAATTTGGGGTTTTAGTGACATTCGTATATAAAATTCGGAATAAAATAAAATAAAATATTTTTTTACAATTAAAAAAAAAAACTTAAAAAACGTAAAACTTCTATTTCAGTATATTTTAAAATGCAGTTTATTTCTGTGTTGGCAAAGCTGAATTCAGCATGAATACTCCAATCTTCAGCATTACATGATCCTTCAGAAATGATTGTAATATGCTGATTTGCTGCTCAAGAAACATTTATTATTATTATCAATGTTGTGTAACTTTTTTTTTCAGGATTCTTTGATGAATAGAAAATTCAAAAGATCCATATGTATGTGTGTGTGTGTGTGTGTGTGTGTGTACCAGGGATAATGCACCTGATGCATCCGGTGGTTCTTGGCCTCCACATTGTGCATTAAAATCGTTTAATTCACAGCCAGCTGTGCATTATCCCTTACATATTTCATGTAGTTCAAATAACTATTGATATGCATCTAGCTGTGTGAGAATTATTTAAATGCATTATTTTTACTTCTCTTAAAGTTTCGCTCACTAGCTTCTCTCCAGAGGTTAGCTGATGAGCCATGTTGCTGTTCAAGTGCGCTGGAGACTCTTGATCATGAACTCAGGCAGCCCTCGTTGTCCTCCTACACTGAGTTTTGTGTGCAGTAGAAGCTCAGTTTGTTTAGCTCAATGGAGCATTCTAACCCCGTATGGCCAGGTGCACGGTGAAACATATGGTGAGAATCTACCCCAGGTATAGTATATAGTACAGGTATTGTGTATCTACCTCGTCTGTTTCTTCTTCCCCTGTGGCGTTTGTAATCTTGCTGAGTAACACCACCGTGTGGATGTCAGAGCAATAGCAACAAGTGACGTATTTCCTGGCTGTGCACAAACAGCTGTAAAAAATATTCTGAAATTGTGAGGATTTTACAAATTACTGCATAAAAATATATAAGAACACACTCCACTGATTCGTTTTAATTTTTATTAATTTTAAAGTACAGTCAAATCTTTTTAAAACGTTAGGCTAAATGTGAAAACAGAGTGGAATCCACATACATTTTTGGAAATAACATTTGTGTTGGACCATGGATAAAAATAATCATATAAGGAAACAGTATTGAAACAAACATCTGAAAATTAGAACTCTGCTGTTGTCCAAATATCATGGTCCAATTTATTATACATGTGTGCAAAAGAAAACATGCACTGTGCTGTTTGTTATTGCATTTTGAATGAGGTAGAGATGTTATCATCCCTGCGAGCATGATAAAAGTAATGCATACTGAGTTTTTGAACTTCACTTATCAACATTTCAAAAGCATTAGCATGTTTTTGGGAAAAAAAGCACCAATGACATTTAAAAAACAAAAACAACCTGGTTTCTTGTTTTCTTGTGATTTCACAGATCATACAACAATAAAAGAGCATGCAAACAGCAATAGCATTATTTTCTCAAAGTTTCTCAACTTTGCATAGCATAATGACGCATCCATTTGTGCTTAACTGAGGAAACATGTCATGATGAGCTGAGGTCAATAAAACGTAATGCTGTCACATTCCCTGGTGTAGCTATGATCTAAACCTGACATCTACCAATAAATCATTAATAAGATAAGAATACCCAGGTGAGATCATGAAAAATATGAATTTGTATTATTGTGACTAATTAAAAAGTGCCAAAGTAACTTGACATCACAGTTATGTTACAGCTGATTTTGTTTTAGGTTAGTTTATTCTTAATATACAGGTATATTACCAAAAAGAAAAGGTAAACTTGTCATCATCTTGGCATTTGGTGATTATCCACATTGTGATGAGACGCTACTTCTCTGATCGACAAAGATTTTCACCTCTATTGTTGAGGTTATTGGATCATTCTGTCCAAATCGTATGGAGGCCATAGATTGGAAGAACTGGGCCTGAAATTCAGTCTCTGGCTTTGCTTTCTCCTGTAATTGCTTCTCATTTGGAGTGAGTTCATTTCCTTCAGGTATCTAAATAAGTAAAATACATTTTTTTTTACATTTACATATATGTATGCAGCAGAGGATTTAATTCAAAGTACAGGTGAAAATGATAAAGTAGAACAACTGAGGTTATGATGAACTTGCCCTGTATACAGTAGGCCTATACTGCTATTATTATGCTAATATTATTATTATTATTGTTGATTAACTTGTAGATTTTGACGAGGTATTTTCGCTGTTGGAATAATATACAAAAAAAAAAGGACAACAAAAATTATGAGGAAAAATATTCTTACTTCAGCAGACACTCTTTGCAGCCATATTTTCTCCTCGTCTGTGAACTCCATCGCAGAACTGAAACCAGTAAATAATTTCTCACTTAATAATAGCAAACTATTATTATTAAAATAAGTTCTTGAAGTTAGACATTAGAAATTGCTTTAAAGGTAAACTTTAATGTAGCCTATGTTTTGACGCATGTCAGCCTGTCGGGCCTCATGCCTAATCATATAATTGACCCAAAAAATGCTTTTAAACGATAAATATTTCTGTCTGCACCAGACAGAAAAACATAATATCAAATGTCATTTATTTTAAAGAAAGACATGCAACACAAGTATTTTTCAAGCAACCAAGGTTTTACTGTGCGCATAAATGAAAGTGAAATTAAACAGTATAACCAACTATCTTGTTCTTTAAAATAGAGGCTAGTTATGCATATTGCTTCCTTACTTTATATAGGTCGGCTTATATAATGTACAGCATTAATGTCCTGTCATAAGACGTCTCTTTCTATAGTTCTTTCATTCACTGTTTCCCACACATATATACAAAATGATTTTGACTTACCTTATAAGGGAAATCATCCTAGCGCAAACAAATATTTGTTTTCTTCCGTTAAAAGCAGCGCCGAACTGCGTTTAAATGGTAAAGAGCATTTCTGTTCAGCAGAAAATGAGTGAACAGTAAAACAGAAGTCTATTTGTGAGTAAACATCCTGCAGACAAAACCTCAGCGGTCGAAACGCCCGGCTGCAGAAGGATACGATGGGGAAAAAATAGATACTTTCACTATAGCAGTTAAAATAAACTCTAATATGTCCGAAAATATTAAAACACTCAAGTCATCATCTCGTTTACTACTGGCTCGTCTATCCGGTTAGACGAACAATCTGAAATCAGACGATTTCTCATAAATCACCTGAACAACGCAAGTGAAAGTGAAAGTAATAGTGCGCTTCACGTAAACAACTACGTCTACTCTTTAGACTATTTAGATGTGTGTTCTCTGCACCACTGTTCATGTTGATTATAAATATTCCAACAATAACAGCTTTGACATCTATTTGAAGACGTTATAGCAAAAGTGATACATAAAAGAGTGGAAAGATAAACCGTTTTATTTCATCTCAACCACATCAGACAAGTTACCAGACATATTGTCATTTACCCATACACGCATATTGATAGAAAAGTACCTTTCCTATAACATAGAATAATGACTGACATATGAACACACCTAAGATATTTTTGCTTTTTGTGTTTTTTTTAAAGCAAAGTATTGACAATTTATAAAGTCTAGAGACTTTCAGACAATTTAATTAGTTATAAAATATTTAGTGCTGTCAAACGATTAATCACATCCAAAATAAAAGTTTTTGTTTACATAATGTGTGTATACTGTGTATATTTATTATGTATATATAAATACACACACATACAGTAAATATTTAGAAAATATTTACGTTTATACATATATATTCTTATATTTTATATAAATATATTTTATAACCATAACATATTTTTCTTAAATATAAACATGCATGTGTTTGTATTTATATATACATAATAAATATACACAGTATACACACACATATATTATGTAAACAAAAACTTATTTTGGATGCGATTAATCGCGATTAATCGTTTGACAGCACTAAAAATATTGTCAATGATTTAAAACCGGAGCCCCTGAACCACACAGATCCAGCTGAGCAGTTATGGATCATCTATGCAGAATAGCAGCACGCTGCTGCCCAGTGCTATTTGAGCATATGGCATATGAAGGAAGAGTTGGCAGGAGGTTTAGGGAGTTCAGAATTCCTCCTCTGCGTTTCGGGTTCTTGAGGCCTTCAGCTCCTTGAGTCGCTCCATGCAGTCCGTCAGACTCCTCTCTCCGTGCACCTTGTTGTCACGAGTCCTAACGTTCACTGTGTCACTGCTTTTCTCCTTCTCACCCACCACTGTTATGCATCAATCGTAAAAGTTAGGATCACAATGAATTCATTACAACTACAATGTCTGTGTAAACATATATGCTGCTGACATTGTCAATTAAAATATCAGGGAAATAAATTCACATGCCATTTTAATACAAGCTACTGAGAAGCGGTCATGGTTTGCTTGTGTCATTTATGGTTTTATGAAACAAGGCAATTTTGCAACACAGAAGCATGCAGTTTTCTTTGAATGCGCGAGACCATTATAATTAACAGTAGTAAACAGGAACAAACCATGATTTTTACACATTTTTCTCATTTAAAGGTAGGGTAGGTGATTTCGGAGAGGCTAGCAAATAGCAAGATCCCACTGTAAGAATTACAGAACCTCAGACACTTTTGGCGCTTTCCACGCAGGTAGTGACGATTCTCTCCGGCCAATCCGTGATCAGCAGAGTTTACACGTCACGTTTTGGTAATGGTACAGTTCACTTGGAACCTCAACCGACATGGTACTAAAAAAAGTCCCAGGTACCGTACCCAGTGGAAAACCCCCCAAAAGTGAACCGT